GAGTCTGCTGGTGTGTGGGCAGCTCAGTGGCACTGACAAAGCAAATTATATGCTGATGGTGAATCTGAACATCTTTAGTACTAACTTATATGTTTTTGTTGTAATTTTCTTATTTGAGTCATCCATAAAACTTCACTGTAGTGAAAGTCCATGCCTGAGCCTTTCTGCAACAGTTGGCAGAGCTTTGGCCCTGGGTCCTTGATTTTTAGAATGAGGGGAAAGGTCCTAAAGAGCACAAAACTTTCCCTTGTTTGATCAAACTGGTGCTCACAAAGTGCTGACGCTGGTGTCTAGCAGGAAGGTAGATGAAACAGGTTAGAAACATATCGTGAACGTGAGTATCGAAATGTATTTTGTTTTGAATTTGTACTGGTAGGCATTGCAATCAGATGAGTAGTTTATTAAAGCATTTGATACTTTTAATTTCAAAAGAATTTTGAATGAGGAAACAAGTAAGGAACAGATGAAACATTGCACATTGAAGTCAGAGGGTTCCTCAGCTGGGTCTTCTGGGTTTGCTCTGTCGGTATTCTTTGTGGTCAGCATGTACGGTAACAAACGTGTTCCTAGGAACATACCCAGATGTCACAGAATATTTAAGTATTACAGTGATTTAATGAGATTTAGGTTCCAGTTCTACAATTTTCTTACGTCATAAATTATTTTGTAGGCAGGCATCTTTTCGATGCTTTCATAAAGGTTAGGCTTGTGTAAAGATAACTCCATAGACCGTACGTGTATGAACTCTTTCAACAGGTCCCTGGTATCAGAAATTTTGGGAGGCTTCTTTGAAAACAACTTCTGTCAGAAGGATGGCGTCATCTTCTCTACAGATCAGTGCGTTGCTGCTGGCTTTAGCAGGATTCACCATTTTACTTGTTACTACCATGTCAAACAGATGGAAAATTTCGGACACTGAGACAGTGCTAGTTCCTGCAGACTGGATTTCTGAAGGTCTTTGGATGGACTGTGCGGTGGTTGCTCTTGGGTCGATACAGTGCAAGAAATTTCTCTACATGTTGAGCTCAGACAGTAAGTGTGCATGGCCTATGTGTATAAAATCCAGGGATGTAATTTTATTCCTTCTTTCTGGACGCGTTAGCACAGGTGGATGGCATACACTGTGGTTGCCACAGGGGGTTTAGTGCGGGCAGGATTTGTCCTGTAGTACTTGCAGACAGGTTAAAGGGCCAGAGTGAAACCTGCCATTCAGCTCGGTAACTGCTGTGCCTTTATTGCCATCTGTGTTGTGTTGGCATAGAGGTATGGGTGACCTACACTGAGGTTTATTTTTATTGTTTTGGAAGAAAGAGTATCCTTTTCCTCAGCCCAGTTCTGAGGTATAAGCAGATCATTGGTGCCGGTGCTTGCTTGTGCATTGGTGTGAGACAGGACTTTGTTGATGTTCCAGAACTTGTTTGATACTTTGTGCTAAGCCTGTCTATTGGTTCTGGAATTTCTCAGAGGTGGCCAGCTTAAAACATGTCAGTCCGACTGGTGCGGATGTTTTCTGAGACAGACTGTGCTAGCAGGGTAGTTTATCCACTAATAGAAAGAGAAGAATCGTCTTTGTAGGGGCTGAAAATGATTTGTTTGGATTATTCTGGATTTTTAAAATATCTTTCTGTAAACACCTTTTTTATGGTAAAGGACTAGGAAGGACCAACATTTAAGTTCTTTCCTCAGAAAACCTAGAGTAGGAACAGTAACAGCATAGCCTTTGAAAACTGGTAGTTTGTTAAGCTTTCTGTTTTAAATGGAACTTTGCATTTATTCTTTACAACTTTCACTATTGTGCAGTCACTTTAGGAGTTACATCATGGAATCACTTCTTCAAGCCTTCACTGCTTTACAGATCCCCGATTACTGTCATTGCTGTTCGTCTGGGCTCTTTCCAGCTGATTTATTTCTGATCTGCAGTGATGAAAACTTGCAGATAGCTCACAGACTCTGAGCGCTTGCTTCTCTTGACACAGATGTAGACTCCATTGAAGTCAGAGCTGCCCAGCTGTGAAGCAGATCTCTCAAATGTGAGAGTCTCCAAGACTTCCTCTAGGTAGATACCAGGTTGCCTAAGTTTCATCTAGAAACTTAGGTATGATTTCTTGTAATTAGCGTGTTTAGATGGGGCTGACGATCCTTCAGTTGTTGTAGGTGGTAGCAAGGTGTTATGGATGCTTACTGTGGGGCAGCTCTGCCTTGCCTTGTACAGCAGGGAGAAACAGATGTTTCAGCCCTGTAACGAAGACACGCAGAGTCATTGTGAGACAGCCTCCTTTATTAAATGCAGTTTCATTACATCTAACATGGAGAGAAAATATTTCCCAGGAGCAGAAGGGTTCCTGGTGAACTGAAGAAGTCACCTCCCAGGGGTTCTCTTCCCTCCTTCCTCATAATTGGAAGAGAGGACCCCCCGGTTGGCAGGGCTCAGCGGATCATCTTCAGCTGTTCAAAGAACTGCGCGTCTTCTAAAATCAACTGATGGGCAGGATGTGGCTGCCTGCAGAGTAATTGCTGTCTGTCACAAAGCTGTTTCTCTTTCTACAGGGCTCAGTCAGCATTCCTGGGTCTTGAAACAAGCCTACAGAAGTGATCAAAAGGGTTCAGCTCAAGCTGATCAAGCATTTCAGGTGTTAATGTTTTCAGTAGTATTTTGCCAACTGTATTGGCTGATCTGATTTTTAAAAGTGCTATTTCTACATGTAAACCCTCGCTCAACCATATTACAAGCAAATATGCTCTGTTTTGAGAATATCAGAGACGTTAGGAACAATTTTTCTCTACGGTCACATATTGCTCTAGTCATATATGGTCGCACCTTGGCATGTCTGTATTAGCGTTTTACTTACATCAGGAGTACACTTCTGTAATGAATTTTCCAATTATTCCCATTTACCACAATTGGTTTACATTGTGGACTCTTGGAGTGTGCAAATTGGTTTCTTCATGGATGAAGCAAAGCAGGGAAATGTGCCCCAGGAACACACTTCCTGACTTCCCAACGTTGCTGGGTGTTCGGTTCACCCGACCAGGTTAGAGCAAGTCTGAAGGAAAACTCCCAAGTCACGGATGGTGGTGATGTGAAGCTCTCAGCACCAGCTCTTTCGCTCTGCTGCTGCAGAGCCTCCTGCAGAGCAGCGTTTGCTGTTGTGTCCACCACTTAACCAACCATAGCTTAGAAAATTCAGCAAAGAACAACCCTGTGTTCTTCAACACCACTGAAGAGTGATTTCCTTAAGGGAATGATCCAAATGCCTGGTGTTTTTCCTAAAACTTCCTAAATGTCATGCATACCAGGTCTGCAGTTTAATTGTTTCTGCTTACATGCATGCTTTATGATTGCCTGTTGAAACAGCTTTCTTAACCAGGAAGTGATATTTATTTTTTTATTATATTAGGTTTGTTTTTTTTTTCCCAGTCTTTGGCATCTGGGGACACTTGATTGACGTTCTCAGCTAAACTCAGCTTTGAAAGTGCTGTCAGCAGAAGTGATTGCTGAGGTCACCAGAGGAGCATCCGTGTATGGATAAGTTAATTTAAACCTCTTTGAAGGGCTTCTAATGAGACACAGATATTCCACCATACTGGTACAGTGTGCTCATTTCACTATGCCATCATTTTCAAATGGCAGCGACTCAGCAGAAGGAGGGGATTCTGTAAAAATCACCCGAGAAGATCCATTCTTACACACACCATCTAGTTTCTTTAAAAGATTGCAAGTACAGAGCTGCACAGGACCACAGTGGCTGTGCTGAGAGTCTGTTCTTCTTTAAATCAACGGCAAAGATCCTCTTGGCTGCCGAGGTAGCAAAAATGTCGTGGTGGCAGTGTAGTACCCTTGTCCAGCTGAACCTACCAACCTACAGCATCAGCTCAAAGTGACCAATGAAGCTGGAAAAAAAAACCCTAGATACCTGTTATGGGCAAGTTGTGACTCTCCCAAAGGCTAATCCTGCTGGCAGCCTTTAAAATGCCGTGAATCAGTTGCGTCATAGCAGGATTATTTTATGAAGAAACTCTGACTCCATTTCCTGGAGATAAGAGCAGGTTATCAATGCAAAAGATGGTTAACCCCATTTAAATACACAAGCAGTTTAAGGCATTAACATCAGTGAGTGATGTGAATTGAATCTATGATTTTGTCTAGTCAAGAGCAGAAGTAAGTAGACCAAGTCTGACATACCTCTAATTCGTCTAGAACAGATTTTTAAAAAGATATTCTGACAAACAGATGCACTCTGCTGATATGTATTATTTTTATTATTTTATATAGCTGTTGTCCATCATTTTATTCCTTTTGAGGTAGGTCGTCACACTTACATTTCATTTCCTTGAAATATACAATATCACAATTGTATTCCAGTGTAAGTGAGACTGTTTTTGAGACTGAACGTGTTTAACTATAGATCAATAAACTGTAAAATATTAATGGCTTAGCCTTCCCGAAAGAAGCTGGCAATACAGCTGCTATGGATTACTTATGACCATAACACCCCAAAAATGTGCTAAATTTTCTAGCAACAGAATAAAATTCCTGTTCTCTGGCTTTTTTATGCTTGAGTCATCAAGAAAATAACACAGTAAATCTTTTTGATTTGAGATCAATAATAAAATTGCAAACAGTTTTAATCTTCTGTAAGCCCTAACTGGCTTCAGAGGAGAGACAGATAAAATATTTGCCGATAGTATCACTCTTACAAAAATGTTTTGTAGGAATGCTGAGTGGGCTTTCTGAGCTGAAGCTAAGAATAGGCTTGTTTTGTTACTTCTTATTAGAAAAAGAATTAATATTGCCATTTTTTTAAAATGTTAGTATCTTTATCATGAACTGCTCCCACTTATTGTCATGCACTGTAAGCCTTATCTCTGGGGTTGAGCAAAGAGCAAAGGTAGCTTCATTTTGGAGTGAAACCAGAGATAAAACAGCAAGGAGGCTTCTGAAAGGCTTCACTTGATTGTAATCTAATTATAGGGATATTTAACTGTTACTACTCACAAGCATGTCTGCTGCGTTGGAAATCGTTGGTTTTCTTTTGTGCTTGGGTGGGTGGGCAATTATTGGAGCTACTTTGCCGAATAATTACTGGAAAGTCTCCAGTATACACGGCAGTGTGATCACAACGTCCACGTTGTATGAAAACCTGTGGAAGAGCTGTGCGGAAGACAGCACTGGAGTATCCAACTGTAGAGACTTTGACTCTATGCTTGCACTGCCTGGTATGTGACTTCGCGCAGCCTTGTTTATGTTGCTTAAAAATTTGTTGGGAAAAAGGTAGTAAGGCTTTTGTTTCGGTAATGTAGTAGTGCCGGCAAATAACTGGCCAAGAAGGACTCTGTGGGGTGAAGTAACCAAAATCATTTAAGCGGCGGAATGTGTCAAGCACATTAGGAAAGGTTATCAAATCAGGAAAATGGAGTTGCTTGATCAAGCATGTATTTTAATAGGCATTTTAAATCTGGTGTAATCTCTTCTCTAGCACCTTGTAAGAATTTGTATGAAATATTGTTTACCACAACTTACGGCAGTTCCATGTTTATTTGGAATTATTGTCTACGCCTTCTTTTGCAATACTTGATAGCCAGTGTACTGTAGCTGGAGTTTTTTCATACAATAGGTAAGAAATACTGTTTATAGCTAAGAAGGGGTTGTGGTTTTTGCGTGTTAAGACAGAAAATCATACATAATGCAAGAAATACAATGGGTATTATGCCTATCATGACATATTATAAGTACATGTTATACAATGAGTACATGTTGTGAATTAATATACTTGTCAGGACTTGTTAACTAATGTCTTGTTGGATGTGGTTCTAAATATCAGGAAATCTAGATCTGCTGGCTCCTCTACTCTGTATCATAGAATCATAGAATGATTCTGTATCAGTCTTCAGCAGGCTGGTGGATTGTTCTCAAATGCCCAACTAAGGCAATATTCTGTGGATAGTAAGCATGTTTGCAGAGAGTGAAGATAGTTTTTATTAACCTTGAATAATCCAGTATGTAGATATTTATTCCAGAATAAAAATGCCTGCCGCCTTTGTTGAATTTACACTGGGAGGTGGCTGAACTAAATAGGTGGCAGGATACTCCTGATCTGAAGAATGTGTAACATAGGATTAGTGAGAGTGAGGTATTAAATGCACTTTCTCTCTCAGCCTGAATACACTGATGCTGTTGACCAGATCGGACACTAGTGTGGCAATCCTCTGGAAGTGTCTAACTGCGTCCAGTATTTAGGGAACAGTCTGTTCTTTCCATCTGTCGGTGTTATCTAACAATTGGTTTCAAAATGCATGTGTGTATTAAGAACATAACCCTGCATAAACTCACTAGGCTCGGCAATAGCAGGAGCATGTCCGTCTGACATTATCCTCTGCAGAGTGCTTATGGGAGGGTGCATTTGGGTGCTGGTTTGAGTGTTGATCTGCCTGAGGGCAGGAAGGCTCTGCAGAGGGGTCTGCACAGGCTGAATTGGTGGGCTGAGGCCACTCTATGAGGTTCAGCAAGGCCAAGTGCTGGGTCCTGCACCTGGGCCACAACCACCTCCTGCACTGCTACAGGCATGGAGATGTGGGGCTGGAAAGCTGCCCAGCAGAAAAGGACCCGGGGGTGTTGCTCAGCAGCAGCTGAATATGAGCTGGCAGTGTGCTCAGGGGGCCAAGGCGGCCAACAGCATCCTGGCCTGTGTCAGGAACAGTGGCCAGCAGGACCAGGGCAGGGATCATCCCCCTGTGCTGGGCACTGGTGGGGCTGCACCTCAAATCCTGTGTTCTGTTCTGGGCCCCTCACTACGAGACAGACACTGAGGGGGTGGAGTGTGTCCAGAGAAGTGAACGGAGCTG